GATTAGTTCCTCCCGTGCTGAACAGCACATCGGGCGAATTCTTTCCACTGTTGCCGGTCTTGTGCAATCATTTCTCCTTCACTCCTAGAAACATTCATGATCTTGAAATCATTCTCGAACGTTCGCCTCCACGTTTGCCTTTCTGGGACGGCCTCTTCCTCGCTTGGCGCCTGGAGGTATCCAGTTCATGGCCACCCTTTGGAACTCGTTGTTGCGTATCATGCAATTTCGGAACGCTAAACAATAAGCATTGCCTTTCAATCAAACTCAAACCAAGTGGTTAATGTCGTTTGGTTCCGAATGTTTCGCACGACGATACTAAGAGCGCTGAGCCAAAATGAGATTTCTATATGTTTGCCATTTTCGCTTCGAAGTGATAAGCTTCTTTGCTTTATTTTACCAGATTAGTCCCCCGTCAACCGCCGGGACCTTCCTTTCCTGCGCAAGCTTTCTATCCCGCTATGGTCCCTTCCTCCTGTGACACCAACACCTCTGGAAGTGACGCGTATGCAACACAATGGTGTTTCAAACAGTAGAAGGGACACAATCATGATATGACGGTAGATTTTTCGCTTCCCTTCCTCATCCTCCCTTCCTCTCTCCACTGCCCTCCAGCTGCCACTGCAGCACCATGTGGAATGAACGGAAGTGTGCTAAGCAGGTGTTTATATAGCCCTAAGAGTGTTATCACAACTATCCTGCTACAAAACATTGATATCTCAAATCCTGTAAGCTACCCGATTTGTTAGCGGTTTGTTTATCCCATGAGCTTCCTTCTCACTCACTTCATTTTGCGGACGGACACACATACATACACTACACACACACACGCACACACACACATACAGATACACAAACCGACACACAAAGTTAGCGCTTTATAAATAGAAGGATATCTGATGCGAATCATTTCCTAGTAATCAAAAACAAAAAGCTTCGAAACCGCGATGGCTCGGTTGCCATGGAAGCACAATGTTCGCATAATAAAAAATAATCTGGGACGAAGAAACTTGTCAAGCAACTTTCGAGGGAGTGATACAATGGGCATGACCTCAAAACTTCCGCTTAGTTTTTCTTTCCAATGGTAATATAGCAATGTGAGCTAGTGAAACATTCTACAGACAACAGCTTTGATTATTCCATAGGTGAAATTTCAGCTGAGAGCTGAACCAAATATTCCTTATACGACTCTCTAACCAGGCCTTTCTCGGCCTTACCTTGCTTGTTTATCTTCTGCAAAGAAAGAGGTTGTACTCCACTTGACATTTGGAAGAGTTCTTGTAAAATTTGCTCATGCAAAATTGCGAGTCGCTAAATGACGGTCATAGTCGGTTACTGCGACCAGCGATGAAGCGATCGCGATCGCTCCATCGCTTGTCCGTCGCGACTATGACAGGTCGGTCTAAATGTGTTAATCTCCGAAGGAAGAAAGATGAATTACTAAGCTAAATATATTACTCTGCAGAACTTATTATAGTTTAACTTTAACTTTAACCAACTTACATTACTCAGCAGAACTATAATAAGTTCTGCTGAGTAATGTAAGTTGGTTAAAGAATAACATCATCTTTCCAGCGCCTCCTTTTATGAAATAGACAGGGGTCAAGCGTGCGTTGAGGAATCCTCGACATGTCACAGAGGGGGGGGGTCGTATTGGCCCGCTGGGGAGAGATTGATACAGTAGGATCATCGTCGGAGGACAAACATTAAGGATCGAATCGATACCAGGCCAGAGTATTTCCAATAACAATTGATTCCGTCCACACAAAATCTTCGTGATTTAGAGGTGTCCGCTTAGCAATTCTTAGTGACTTTAGTGTTTCATCACCACACAAGTCAAAGGATCCGAAATTCGCACGTTTTCTAGGGATATTTTATCTTTCAAGTAGGTCCTCAAATCCAACGAGATGTGAAGCACACGGCGCATCCCAGAGTGGGCCCAGTTGGTTGCGCGCGCTTCAGCTACGGCTATCTTGATAACGAATCTTAATTCAGGAAGAATCAAGAGGGTTCTGAAAGAGTTCATGTTAAATTACAGAGAGGAGTACACTATTCAACAAGAAACGCAGCCTTCAGCGTCAAATTCACAAGCATGTAACCTTTAAAGTTGAGACCCGCTAAACAATTTTACACTTTTTGCAGAGAGAAAAGCACGAGGATTTTGAATCTGCTCCTACTTCAGTATGTAATCGCTCCTGCAAGGAGCTATAGTCGTTGGGATAGTGCTAATGTAGCGAAAAAGTACCTTTCGGCGGTACTCGGGCAAAAATCCTCAACGTGGCCATTTTTTAAATAGTGAACGTATTTAGCAGTTTTAGTTGCCTATAGAAAGAGCAAATCTTCTAGTTTATGATGACGTATTAACTTTCCAGATTGCATGAGTTTGAACGGAGTTATGGCTTTGGAAAGCGTAAAAACTCGCACTCATCACGAATTTTCCTCGTTAATTTTGCAAAAATCCTCAACGTGGCCATTTTTTGAGTACTGGACGTATGAAGCTGCTTTAGCGACCGTTTGATAGAGAAAATCTTCTAGTTTTGTATGACGTATCAACTTTTGAATTTGACGGAAATGAAGCAAGTTATTGCTCCGGAAAGTGTAAAAACTCGTGCTCGTCTCGAATTTTCCTCGTTATTTGATCTAAATTTGTTATTTCTTATAACTTCCTGTAATTTCAGTACTGATTAGAAAAAGCTCTTCACAAAACTCCCAAATCAGCTTTCAGATTGAAAATTCGTTAACTTTGAAGAAAGTTATAATCATCATTGAATATTTGTTCAAATTTCAATAGTAAATAAGCTGCTCCACGGTCAACGCCAAAGTCCAGTCAACACACAGCTGGCGAAGGCTTTTACAAGGCTTCCTTTGAGCGAAAGGGGGACGTGTAAATTGAGAACCATAATCTGTGTAGTACTAGAATTTGGTAAGTCTTGTGGAGGAAATAAACAAAGAAGAGGTGTTGTCATAGTACGCCATTTCTAGTGACTAGTTTGACGTTTTTTGCTCCGTTTCTCGTTTGCTCGTTTGACAGGACTCGTCATTAATGATCATTCTTTGACTTTTTCACTTTTATACTTTTTAAACGAGTTTTTTTGTGGACGATGGGGTAGCAGGGCTTTTTTATGAGCAGTTTTGGTGGAGAATTAAACAACTTTTTCATAGTTCGGCTTTTAAAGAGGGTTGTTTCATGGACTTCGGCCTTCGGCAGAGGGGGGGGGGTCGTATTTCCGAATTTTCCTCGACGCCTCGCTTGACCCTGGTTAGATAAGGAGGCGTCGATGTGGGTTTCTGGGAAGGGAGCAGTAAGGCAGGGTTTAGAGCTGGCGGTCGTACATGCGATTAAGCGATTTAAGAAAGTGCACATATCGATTAGCCGCGTGCGATTAGGCAAGTAGACGAGTAAGCGGCATAGAAGGATGCGTATTGATTTGTTGCTCCGCCGCTCATTGAGCGGTCGCTAAATCGATAGTACCCTTTTCCTTATAATAGAATAATCGCCTAGTCGCCTAATCGCATGTTTGGTTGTCAATCTGAACGCTGGCTAATCAACTCTAGAACTAGGCTAGTATATTGTGATTAATTTCGATCAGTGATTGGTCACCAGTGTAAAAGGAGGGGGTTGGCACATGCTAGTCTTTGCCTTTTTGAGTAAAATCATGACTGAACCCATTGAAATTTGAAATTTTCAGGTACATTTACTGTCGCTTGTTCGCCAACTGCTTGCCCTACATTAACGCAGCTGGTAAGTTCACAAATAGACGAGTAGTCATCGCATAACAATTATTATTATTGATATGATTTCAGGTAACTGGATACTGTATGCAGTACTGAACAACGATGTGCGGAAGCATATTTACAGTAGACCACATCCACGTTTTCTCTTCACATCACTCTCGACAGTGTAGGAGACGAATCACACGGTTATGGAAGATTCACACGGGCACTTTATACTGGAAGTACCATCTGAAGAGGAAGGAGGTGATGCGCTTCCATCGCTGCTCACCGATCGCTTCCTTCAAATCTCCTATGAGAAGATGGTTGTCAAAAGCGTGTTGTAATGTTGCTATTGTGTTTAATTAAAGCGGGTTTTTTTTCGTGGTTGTATTTTTGGAACCCTAAAATTGAAGGTCAACATTTTTGTAAAAGATTTATTTGGCATTCAACCCAAGTTTTCACCTTAGATCCTTCTTGACCTTCTTCTTCGATACCTTAGCCTTTCCACGTCTCGGGCAAGGGCAGTAGAGCGAGTCAGGTCCTGGTGATCCAGGTTGTCCAGGACGACCAGGGCGTTCCAGGTTGACCACCGGCTCCATTCTCACCAGGTACACCATTTTCGCCAGGCACTCCAGGTTCTCCTGGAAGTCCAGCCTGCCCTGGTTCACCGCTACGTCCACGTCCACCAGGTGGTCCAGCTGGACCAGGTGGTCCTGCAGGTCCCACTCCGCCTTGTTCTCCGTCCCTTCCGGGCTCTCCAGGCACACCTGGTGGTCCAGGCAATCCAGGAGCACCGGGAGATCCAGGATTACCTGAAAATGACAGATTACGTTTTTACAAAAACAAATCGAGGTAGATCGAAGGAAACTGAAAGAACTGTTCGAGGTCTGTTCTTCCCCAAAAACATGAAAAATCCTCAAGACGTAATTTTACTTCCTTTTTTACCGAGTAATAGAACGTTTTTTATTTTCTTGAAAATACTGCATGAAATTCATTACATCGGCTAGTCCTCCCTTATTGTTTTTGTCCATTAGGAATCGTTGAATAGCTGAGTGAAGGTCTACAAAAGTGGGAAGGGTCTCACAAAAATCAAAAACTTGACACGCACAGGTGCGGCCTGCCTCTCCTGGGTTGGCCATCAATCCAGGGCTGCCCAGGAATTCCTTTTCCCGGTGTCCGCTGCGCCGCGTGTCCGGGAGTCCAACTGCGCCCAGGGAGACACACTTTTTGCATTGGGTGTGTCTCGGTGAACGGCAAGGGGTGGAACGATTCCGGGAAACCTTAGAAAAACAATTAAGAAAGGCCATAAATTAGTGGGCGAAGAGGCCAAAGCAGAAGCGTCGCATACCTGGTGGACCTTTGCTGCCGTGCCTTCCAGGTTCTCCTGGAACTCCTGGCGCTCCAGAAGCTCCTGGCGCTCCTGGCGGGCACTGATTTTGACCACTGCATTGGCATATGCCTTGTACCTGTCTGCTATACGAAGTTATTACGAGAACTGCCACCGGTTCTTGTTCAGGCTCTCAAGAGGACTTCGTATCCTGACGCACCTGAACCGCAACAGCTTCAATTGTATGGTTTTTCTCCATAACGGGTCCAGAGGCGAGACGGAGTTCGGTGATAGACGAAGCGGTCGGCTAGGGGAGATAAGTGGCAACGACCGCCAATATCAGCCGAAAAGTTTAGCGCTAGCCACAAAAGGATAATGTGTGGTCGGATTTGGTAATGAGAATGACCCATTTTGAAGAGAGGTCCATCTATTCGGTTTGCCAAAAACTTTATTGCGAATTAGCAGTTTGTCATAAAATACTTCTTCAAATTTCCTATCGTCAAAAGTTTTCAACTACTTATTTGGGAACCTTCTTATCTGATTGTTCTCTATGAAACCGTTCATATTTCTAGGCATGTCAGCCTTACCCGGAATTGATCCATTCTCACGGCAAGGTCGTTCGTGATGTTTTCAGTCGCATTGTACAAATACGGGATGTAGAGAAGAGAGACTGCGACCACGATCAGCCCCGCAGCGGAGGAGAAATTGGCGAGATGTTTCTCCATCTGAAATTACTATTAATATCAATTGCATAATGAATTGCAAATAAGAGGTGGAACTTCGTAGACGATAGAGTAAGAAGGTTGAGTTCGGACGCTATTTTGCTCTGCCCTTTTATAACCTGAGAAAAGTTGGCAGTTGCGGTCACACGACCGGAACGGGAAAACAACAGTGGTGAGGTTATGTGCAACCTGCTTGCCAGAAACGTGGGTTGAGTAGCTCGGGCATGCTACTGTTTCAGCACGTCACTTTGTCACTGGAAATGTGGCGGAAGAAGATTACATTCTTACAAAATGATACGTAAAACGAAGAGGTTGGCTTCCAGTGATTCTCTTCGAATGCACTCTATCAATTTGTTTTCCATGCGAAAAATCCGAATTGTATGAAGCTATCTCCACAAGGACAGGTGGTGTTCAGTCCGTACAAAAGTGTTTTACCGACCAGTTGACACCGCAGAAAAGGAAGGCCTGACTGACTTGGGGTGCATTTGAACACACTTGTCACTCAACTTGTTAGTTGTAACGGATTCTCTTGCAGCAGGCCCGATTACCTATGCTTTGCGAGCAAAATAAAGTTGCCTGATGCCTGAAAATGGTTTATATTTTGATAATGGGCTTGCTATGTATAGGGTGGGATAATAATATGCTGGCGTTTTTTTTCGAGCTCATAAATTCAATCATTAAAAAAGCTAAGCGGAAAATCGCGTATATTACTGGGTTGTCCCATAATTTCTGGCCGAATTTCAACACTTTGATTTCTTCAAGTTTTATCTTTCCTAAAAAACAATTGATCAAAAATATAACCACCATCATAATCACTGATATGCATCCATTTGCTAGGGAACGAATGGATGCATTCCTCCCAGAACGAGTGAAGCTGTGAGATGAAAAGCTCGGAGAGGTCGTTTTTGGGGTGGTTGTATTTACTGACTTTTTCTCTCCTAGCTGCTGCTTCAGGGAGCTGGGGAGGTGATAGTACGATGGAGCAATGTCAGGGCTATACGACAGATGTGGTGTCGTGGTCCAGCCAGTTTCCCTCGAAACGTGGCGATGTGAGGCTGCGATGGCTTTGCAATGTGAGGTCGGGCGTTCACTTGGAGGAAGAAGATTTCGAGTTTTCGAACTGATCTGCCGTACTGCTGCGGCACACACTGGAAGTTATTT